AGTGTCAAATAATACAGAGGCATAAATATTGTTGATAGGAAACGTACCAGTAACCACAGTTGGTTCCTGGCGTGCGTCTCCCGCACCTATCACAAATGCCCTTCCTTGACCACCCTGTCTCTTCAGCTTAGGACAATCTTTCCTGAAATGTCCATGTTGGTTGCACTCGAAGCAGGTTCGACTTTCTCTTGCGGTAGTAGTTGAGACTGTGTTGCTTGGGTTCTTTTTGCAAAATTTGGTGGTATGACCGCTTAATTTGCAGTTGCTACATATCCTGCAGTCTCCAACATGATGATAATTGCACTTAGGGCAGCGAGGTAGAGTTCCAGCGTAGGGTTTTACTGGAGTGGGAGTGGTTGTGACTGCAGCATACACCGTTACAGGCTCTGGGTTTCGCTTACGGTGTTTGAAGTTCCCTTTTGGCTTTCCCTGGACTTTCTCTTAGATTTCCCAGTTTGGTTCTTTTCTTTTGCAGGGGCCATGGTGCCTTGTCGGATACATTGTTCAGTCAACTCATAGGCCAGCTGCTTGGCACTATCAAAAGTTGAGGGTCTGGATGCAGTAACCAGACCTTGGACTGGCGATGCTAATCCCAAATGTATCTCTCCGTCTTCTTGTCTTCTGAAGGTACCATTCCGGGACAAAGAGTTGCAAGGTCTTCGAATCGGGAGGTATAAGCAGCTACCTCTGATCCTTGCATGGTTAGGTTCCAGAGTTCTTGTTCTAATGCCTGAATCTCCTGCCGTGGGCAATACACTTTAGTCATCATTAGTTTCAGCTGTTCCATCCCATGGCATAGGCTTCCGCAATTCCCACGGTCTTGGCATGGTTGTTCCACCAAGTTAAGGCAGCATCCATCAGTGTGCAGGTAGCGTACTTAACCCTGCAGTCATCCGGGCAAGAGCTGATGTGGAAGACAGCTTCAATCTTCTCTATCCATCGGGATAGGCCAACAGCTCCTTCAGTTCCGTAGAAGGATCGGGGTTTACAACCCATGAATTCTTTGTATGAGCAGTGTTTGGGATTTCTTTGGGCAAACTACAGGAGTACCACTTCCGCTATTTCCAGTATTCCCGTTTCGAGCTGCCTCATAAGTCGCCAAGGCCGTAGCAATCCCTTGTGCAAGCATGTTCTGCATCATGGTGGGATCCATCTGGAAATTTTGGTGGTTATTTGTAGCACTTGGGGTTTCTTCAGGGTCTGGAGTTTCTTCTGTTGTTTGAGTTATCTCTGGAGCACTTCTCCTGTTAGTTCGGGGAGTCGGTGGTGGACGAACTCGTGGTTCTTTTCGTCGAGGCATTATCCTAATACGTTAGATAAGTAAGTTAATTTTTTTTAAACCATATAGTTATAATGTGTGTGTATTTTGTATTTGTTCAATTTGTTTTTCTTGCGAAACCAGAAAATGAAAGCTTTTCCTGATATATAGAGTTTTGCAAGCAATACATAATAAATACAAACATTTAATAAAACACAGAAACATTGTCATCAGAACTGCTTGTTTTGGTTACAAAGTTTTAACCATATAAGGTTAGAAATAGAAAAGCTTTTCAAAAGAGCTATTACAAACCAGGCAGTGATAAACACTTGCAATACAAAAGCTATTCCTCAAAAGTCCTAACCTTATCCTAGGACACAAGTTGTCCTAGATATCTACCTCCCAAATCGATTCATCACATAGAGGACAAAGTCCTCGAACTGGTCCAAGATGTAGCGTCGTTCCTGCGCAGAGATAACCAACTGATTTCGCTGCGCAGCAAGCTCGCTCTCCATGATCTGAATCCGGTAGTTCTGTGCTCTTACCTGAGCACTCAAGGCATTCACTGCATCATGATCAGCACCCGAGAGATGATATAATATCTGGATCGCATCAGAATTCTCCTTCTCCTCTTCCTCGAGTGTCTCAACTCGATGGTCGAGGGAAGTAGAGCCTGGACCTCTCACAAACTGCTCCAAGGATCTAATCCTATCCTCGGTCTGATCAATCTGAGTCATCAAGCGAGGTATCGGATCATCCTCAGGATTAAACCTGAGTGGTGCTCGTGAAGATTCACCAACCTCAAACCGTGGTGGTAGATCAGTAGCATCCCTCCTGCTAAGGAGGTCTGTGAGCCAAGATGGCTCACTGGGTCGATTACGTTTCCCTAATAGACCACTAGTGGGTCGGGAAACCTGAGCAGCTGGGTCCAAGTGGTAAATAGGAGATATAGTAGTTCCTGGGGTCCTCATCATACAAGGGCCCTTGCCGCAGAGAAGGTACGGCTGGTAGTGGGGTCTCGGTGGTGAGTCTGGTGGGGTAAGGGGAGTAGGTTCCTCTTCGGAGAGGTCTCCCTCATCCTCTGCAGGACCATCATCATCAGTCTCTTGGGCATCCTGAAATATACCCTCATTCTCGAGCTCCTCCTCATCGGGATCCTCCTCAGGATCCTCTTCGGGATCCTCCTCAGGATCCTCCTCCTCAAGACCGTCATGGGGAAAGTACGGATCCCCCGCTAAGTGTAGTGGATGTGGATGCAAAGGAACTCCAAATGGCTCATCAGGATCCTCAAGTCGAAACCAGTCATCAGGGTTATCCGGTAGTCCAGCCATCTACATAGAAGGGTTTCAAGCGGTTTAGTAAATTTGTATAAGGTTTTTTTTATTTTTTTTTATTTTTATAAGAGTTTTAAGGTTGATAAAAGGATTCTAAGGTATTAAGCTTCAGCAACGAATCTGATGGATATTCTTCAACTTCTAAAACTCTCAACCGTTGTAGCTTGTCAAACTCCTTGCTCAAGGTTGGTTGTGCACCGGCCCGACCATAAATAACATAGGCGCGCGTTCCAGGTTTATTTGTGGTATGGCTTATGTACGATACTAACCTTTAATTGAGGCGTTTGACCTAAAGGGTTGAGTTGGTAGTTTTAGTTGAAGGGATGTTTAGAATTTTTATTAAGTGTTCTCATCGTGGGTCAGGGTATATATATCAACTCTTACATATTAAGGTTGGTGGGGTTTGTAGTATTATTAATCTTTGTTTTGTACTTCCCAACTACCATACCGTAAGTAGTCGGGAAGTAGTTTTATTATTGATAATACTTTTATAAGAAGCTAGTTGCTATAGTTGTATTCCTCTTTCGAGGATACGAGTTCTCTATAGCCAATTTAGCTCTGATACCAATCTGTCACACCCCCAGCCGAGGCGGCGGAACATGCCGGGCTGTGCGACTAAGTTCATGGATCACAGGTAAATTGAATATACAGCACAAGTACAACAATAAACAAAACAACATTTCATTACATGTTTATGTTTTCATACAAAGTTCTTACAGATAGTAATAAAATAATAATACGAGTTTGCCTTAACAGTTAGGCATAACAGTTCAAAAGTAGAAAATTAAAGTACTTGCGAGCCAAGTTTTCCATCGTCTGAGTGTGCCCGAAATTTCACTGATTTCCTGAGAATACATGTATTTTGAAAGTCAACACGAGGTTGGTGAGAGTCACAGGTTTTCTGCTAGCCGCAGTAATAATACTTTCAAAAGTCCAAGAGTATATATATATGTATATATTTTGTATAATGATAGTTGAAACAATGCTTGTCATGAGTCTTTAAAAGCTAAAAATTAATTTTATAAATAATTTTATGCTTTTGAAGAAAATGTGTTTGTAATAACTTCATGAAGGTTTAAACATATCCATTGTATAAGTAACCACCATACTTAAAAACATTTCTAAAAGCAACCAAACCTATGGTTGTAGTGAAAAAGTGAGAGAGATTCGTGTTAATGTTTTTAGTGAGTTCTATAATCGAGCTATAGACGAAAGGTACCCCTCCCTACGACGCTTCATTGGACATCGTAGTAACGATCGTAGACACATATCACCTGCTTCGATTGATCAGTCGATGGTTGTAGCTAGCAACCGCAGGTGGGGTTGTCAACCCTATATAGATCTATATATATGTAACTCGCTCCGAAGATTAACGATTATAGCAGTGTGGGGCAGGCTAAGTGATTAAACTCAGCTAATGAATAGTAGCGTCTCACTCAAAAACCATTAACGCAAAGTTTGTGAATAACTCTCAGCCCTAACTTAATTATAGATAAGTACTGGGCATAATGAAACTCATAGTATAGTATTTGTAAAGTCGAGTATGGTTGATGTATTTATAAAGGTATAAATTACTTGCTTTTATAGAGATATGTATTTTAACATAACGATCTTGTATAAGTGTGTAAAGTCTTATGCATGATGGAAGTATTTATAACTTAAATTTGTAGCATGCATATCATATAAGACTTATATATTTGTATCATAAATAATATATAGCACATGTATTCTCCCCAAGAAAATAAAATATTGAAAAGGGGCCGTAACTCTCACCTTATTGAGTGGTAAACGAGTAGTTCTGAAGACCAGAATGTATTGCCGTGAGGTCGTGATCTCCGGGATTAGTTCGATTTCCTAGAAATTCGATATGTATTAATATTTGGACGTGATTAAGTATTATAACAATTTCTTGAATAATTCCCTAACTTTTGCCAATTTAAAATTTATAATTATTTAAATAAATTTTAAAATTTAATTTATTATTTTTCCGCAAGTATTTAAATAACCAAAATTAATTTATTTGAAATCAACTTTAAAATTTCTAAAATATACGTATAAACATTTTTCATTTAATTTTTGTATATAAAGTTTGATTTGTTTTGAAATGATTTTTCCATCCTAAAGTAAGTTTTAAACATTCTTATCAAACTTTTATTGTTTAAATCTTACATTTGAAATAACTTTCAAGGGACTAAATTCAGGCAATTTAAAAGTATGGAGACTATATATATTTAATTTGCAATGATGTTTGAACTGTATACAAGCTTATAACAGGAGGCATATGCCTCCTGTTCTTCTTCCCCGACGTGATACGCAAACGAAAGAAAGAAAATAAATAAATAAATAAAAATCTTGCAGCGGTTTATTATTATTATTATTATTATTATTATTATTATAGTTCTAAATACATGGAAGCTTATAACGAAATCAAGGGGGGTGGAGATGGCTTACTAGTGACGAAATGGAGGCCAGAAGTGGTGGCGATCGGTGGTTATTGCTGCAACAGGAGGCTGACGGGGGTGGTGGTTCTGATACTGCTACCTCCGTTTTTCCTCATTTCTGTTGGATTTCGATGCAGGGGTATGGAAAAGCTTCCAGGGATCGAAGGAAATAACAAACTAAGCTTAGGGATGAAGCTTTTGGGTGGTGGTAGTGGGTGTTTGAGAGTGGCAGGGGATGTTCTTCCAGCTTTTATGGAGGAAGAGAGTGATAGAGAGAAGAGGGAAGAAGTTGATGATTTGTGTCGAATGAAGGCACTCATGCATTCCTTTTATAGTAAAAATCCATACACACAAACCAAATAAGCCATACCTCAACCCTTACCTTGTACTTTTGAGGATATGTGCAAGAAAGAAAAGATATGGCACGTGGGGGTGAGGTGAAGATAAAAGAGATCAGATTTTTTTTTTTTTTGTCTGTTGGAGTATGGGTGGGCCCCACATGGGGCTAAGCCTCCCTTACATGTTTAAAACATACAAAAATCGGGTTTCTCGGTATTCGTGCATTGATTTTATTTTTCGAAGGCTCCGTTAGATAGAGTATAATTCAAGGATTCTAGAACATCAAACGGATTAATTTTTGGAGTTACGGATCTCCGGGAAATTGCGTTTTAAGTTTTGCGTCTTAACGGCTCGCGGTGTCCGTTTTCGCGACTTGTGTAAATATTTTCGTAAAAATTATTTCGAGTGTGGAATTAAATAATATACTATATCCTGATTCCAAAAATGCTCTCAGAATTCCCGTCGGCAAAGCGTAAGTGCCTCAACGGAACGTTTTTGTTTACGCGATTAACGAATAACAGTGTTTTACTGTCCGTTTTTCTTAAAGCGGTTGTATCTTTTGCATACAAACTCCGTTTTGGACGTTCTTTATATTTTTGGAAATGGGGGAACATGTACTATCATATTTTTGTGTTTATTTTGCTCAAAAATGAAAAATGTTAAATTTCAATTTTCAGACGCATTAGTCAGCGCTGTAGTTGAGCGGTTTGATTGGGTTACCAGTTTACACGTTTGGGCATAAAAATATCATCAAATATTATATAATAATTGAAATTAACTCATTTATATTTCATTAGATGCAGTTAAAGCTGAATGAATTAATTACAAATAGATTTGTCGTAGTTTAGTCGTTTGAAATCTATGCCCTAAATTCCGGGATGTCACAGTATGAGATTTTCGGGTTTAATTGAGTGCAATAAGGTCTAAGGAAAAGCTTTCGGCCCAATAAGGCCCAATGAAGGGAGTTTTCAGTCCAATGAGGTGTTGGGCCGAGAACTCTTGGGCAAAGTCCAAAATTTTGATTTTGTTTAGCTATTGGATCAAATTTAGGCTTACAGTTATTTCAACTTGATTCTAAATGTATGTACACATGAATTCATATAACATTATAGTTTGAATTTCTGAATAAATGTAACAAGGTTACATAGAGGAAATTGTTGTGTACAAGCTTCACGATCTAAGCCCTAAATTGATAGTTGTGACAATACGATGTGCAATTAGCTTTTGAAAAGAAAGAACCCGAGATCGAGTCCCCCTCTCCTTCTTTACAAAATTTTCAAAGAACCAAATATAACACGGAGCTTAGATAGTAAAGTGTGAGTACCTCTATACTTCTTTAAAGAAAATTAGAAATGACAAAAGAAATTATATATCATGGGGAGGAAGTAAGAAACAAATATAACACTTAGCTTAGATGGTAAAGCGTTACAATTTTAGAGGAAGATTAAGGTTCGAAACCCTTTTTTTTATTCTCAATAACATGTCCTTTTCTTTGCTAAAGAGGATGTTGACGTGGCATGCCACACGTCAGCTGCCACATAAGCGCTTTTTAAGAACACTGTTAAAAAAAATGAAATTGGATAATTTAGCCGGCTGGGTTTTTCCATAAAAAAAAAAAAAATAATAAAAAATTAAAAAAAAAAATTATGACTTTATTAATAGTTTTCCGAAAATAAAAGAAAGACCCAAAATTGATCTTTGGTTTGGTTTGGTTTATCTAGAGACTATCTTCAAAAGGTAACAAGAACAAAACCCATTCGAAATTTCGTTTTTCTGCATTCAAGACGCCCCTTTTATCAGTTTAACCATTTATCCTGACATTCTCCCCCAAAATCCCACCTTCCATCTCTCTTTCCCGTTCTTACTGCTTCATCTTCTAGCCACCTCTCTTCATCGACGCCCATCTTCACTACCACCACTTTCGCCGCCGTTCGTGTTCGCCGCCGCCGCCCCCACCCAGGTATTGTTATGGAAACTCCGATGATGACAATTTATATTGTGATTATGATGACAATTTGTGATTAGCTGTCTTCCCTGTACAGGTATTGTTATGGAACTCCTTTTATCACCGACCATCTTCGTCTACTGATTCTACGATTTATATCGCTTCTCTGTTCCGAGGTGCAATTTGATTTTTGGATTTTTTTTTTCTTAAGACAATTCTTGCGAAGTGAATGTTGACCAGGTTAAATAGATCGATATTTAATTTCTATGAAAACCCTGCTATAACATCTCCTGAAAACGAATTCAATTATTTGAAGAACACAGTGCAATTAGCTTCTGTGTTTTTCACATGAAGGAACCTATTTTAACTTCGTTATTGTTGTAAGAGTTTGCCATTTTGTGCAAATCGGAAAGCAACTACCAAATAGTGATCATGCATACTGATTAACTACATACTAATGGATAATGATTTGATTTTCTTCCATCTTGAGCTCTATCTTATGCTGGGGAAAATTGATGTGAATTTGTTAATAGTCCTTCCTGACTTGAAGAAATTCTCTCCTTCGAATTTGTTAAGTGCTGTGAAATTAAGGAAGAGAGGGGCCTCTTTGTTTAATGACAGAATATAAGGAAGCTGTTTGGAGTAGTTATATGTCAATTACTAAACAGGACACGTCTATTTTAAATAGGCTTGTTGATGTTGGAGTGTCTCCAAGGGTATAAGAGTCAATGTCTGTTGTTAATAATGAGATACTTCATTGCCATTTCTTGGAACTTGCTACAAATTTTTTAGCCCCTTTTGGACCATATTTTAGGGTTAATACACCTTCGATTGGAATTGGATCATCTCCTTTGATTTGGTTTACTCTTTAGATTTATTTTTAAATTGGTATTCATTTTTCTTCGAAGATGTTGATCAAAATCTACCTCTTTGTTTCTATAAGCATTGCAACATATTGGCGAAGTGAGATTCATTGTGGTCCTTATAAGGGGTGTTTTAGGTATATTATATGATTATTAATCATGTGTCAAGTGTCAAAGGGTTTGCATTTTTTTGGGGGATTTATGGAATTATCAATAATTAAGTATAATTAAGAAAATGCAACTTTTTTTAAGGTGTTGATTAAGGTGCTGTTTGTTTTTTCTGAGGCAAAATGTCTACAGTCTGCGGACCACATCTGTAGACCTCTGCAGTAGAAGAGGTGGACCAAACGTCTGCAGTCTGAAAAAAAGAAGACTGTTTGTTTTTTTAACATCTGCGGGCTATTAAAATAAACTGAAATCTAAATAAACTGATTTTTTAAAACTTCAAAGCGAATTTTTTATATATTTTTACGACTTTATTATAAATATATAACGAATCTAAATCAACTTTAATGTATTATTATATAAAAAAAAAAAATGGTATTAATTCATATACATATTTGATAAAAACCAACAACTTTGATTGCAAAGTTATAACTAAACATTATAATTAGTGATCAAAGAATTTGATACATAAATAGATGGAAATAAACTTCGATTTTTTCAAATAAATCTATTAAAAACGTACGATAAATATTTTCTCGAGAAATTGATGATACTCTATTAAATAAAGTTTTACAAAATTTTGGCAAAAAAATATAAGAATATATTATGATTTTTTTTTTCATATTTATATAAACAACTTCAACGAATATTATTATAATAAATTTTTATTTATAAATTTGTTAAAAATATCATGTTTGTATCGTCAAATGTTTTTTTTTAAGTTTTGTAATTTTTTTTTCATATTGTTTATCATTAATAAAGTTGGAAAAAATATACATTAAAAAAAAAACTTTAAAAAAATAAAGATATATATGTTTTTTTAAGCTAGAAGATGTTAGAAGACTCTGGTCCACATCTGCGCCAAGAAGAGGGCGTGCAGACATTTTTAGGTCTGCAGTCTTCAAAAAACAAACAGTCTGCAAAGACTAATGTCTGCGCGGCGCAGACAGAAGACGTCTCACAGATCTGCAGACAAAAAACAAACACTACCTAAGTCTAATAGAGACAAGAATTAGGATCCCATGGGAACTTATATTTGTTTTTAATTTATGGATAAATTATTGCCATACTTTTAATGCTTTAATTTAAGGGAAATTGACTTATTAAAGTAATTAACTTTTCGGTTTGTTCACATCTAGGGAACTATTTTTTTTTTTTTTTTGTATATATATCTTGGTAACAAATTTTTTGAATGTGTTCACATATGACAATTATGACCAGATGTAACCTGATACAGCTGTTCATATTGGTCGTATGTTAACACATTCAAAACGTTTGTTATCTAGATTTGTACATAAAAAAATAGAAACCGAAAAGTTAATTACATTAATAAGTCGATTTCCGTTAATCTAAAGCCAATAATGTTAATGTTATGCTAGGATTCTACAAAAAAAAAAAAAAAAAAAAAAAAAAAAAATCTTATTTGCACAAAACACTTAATAATGTATTATTTCCTATTGGTTATATAATCTGTCACAATTGTTATAAAACCATAATAACCTTTTATTATTTTCTATATTAATGATACTGATGATTATAACGTGTTCTTTTTCTGTAGCATTCTGAAAACTCGGAAGCAACATTGCATAAAACTCAAAGGAGATTTGTAGGCAGTTTTTAATGTTCCTCAAAAAGACATGCAACATCTCCTCCTTATGAATCCAGAAAGAGCCACTTTTTTACAATAACAATCATCAATAAATAAATAAATAAAATAAAAATAATCTTCGATTCATGTAACGTGTACTATGTAGTAGTGATTGAGATATGCAAATATAACGAATTTGTGTTCTAGAATGAGATGATAATGATATATTCTTTAAACCGTGTTCGTAACATTTTCAATTTTTAATTTTAGAATCTTGATTTCATGTGTTCATGTGTTAGTTTATCTATGCATATGAAATGTTATATGCAAATGTTGACAATGGAAATTAAATTATATTTCGGACTAAATGCAAGAAATAACAATACATTTACATTTATTTGTCTATGAAATGGTTAATGCATAAATTGGTAACAAACTATTTTTTTTTAAAAGAACGCTATCGTTTAAAAGGGTACCATAGTAGGCAATAAGCTATTTGTTTTTGTTCAGAAAAAAACGTTAAAATAAATGTATTTTGTGAAGACAACGTTCTATATGTTTACCTTCTGATAACATTTTAAAATAAAAATACTGTTTTGTGAAGAAAAAAAATTATAAACCCATTTATGACGTCAACATGTCACTTTCATATTTTTTTTCTTATTACAACATTGTATTTATTATTCTATTTTGAAAATTCTATCTAAGCATAGCATTGCTATGCTTTCATCTTTTTTTCTTATAAGAATATTTAATTATAGCCATTGAACATTTTTATATTTGGATGATATTACTATATTCATATACATATTTCAAAATATATTTGTTTTAAATAAAATGAAATGAAAATAAAACGCTATAACAAATATATAAATTTGCATTGTTAATTCTTTCGTTAAACCATTTGTTTTACTTTTTAATACCTAGAACATTTAGTCAACCATAGTTTAATGACTTGATAAAGATGGTTTCTATGGTTACCTAATAAGTAAGATATTTTTGTGTAGGGTCTCTTTCTAGGGTTGTAAATGCACATATTTAATGTTAAACATGAACCACAATCCATGTGTATTATCAACCATAAAATGCCAAAGTAGTATTAATTTCGTAAAGACTACTTGCATTGCATTTACTCTTTGTACTTTGGTTCCCTTGGAGTTAATATACATCAATAATTCAACACTAATTTAGTATTAACTTCCTTTTATGGGAGAATTTCATATATGCTCTTCTTAAACCTCAAAATATCATATTTGTCCAGCTTAATTTTTTAATATCATATTTATCCTTCATAAACCTTCAAAATATCATATTTGCCCAAATCCTTTTTTATAATGTTTTTAATATTTTATAATCATTTTTTATAACTTAAAACTACTATAATAATTAAAAATTTTAACGATATTATCCTTACGTCTATGATAATGGAATGTGAACTTCTAAATTATTGGAATGTCGTCCTCTTGACAAACAAAAATATACATCTTCAACCCTTTCTATAGAATGTATATTTTGATTGTTTAGTTTTTTTTTTGTTGATTATGTTGTAGATGAATAATATTTTAGATATTACCATTAATATTTTGATGTTTAAAAAGTGTATATATGATATTTTGATATTTAAGAAGGGTATATATGATATTATGATGTTTAAAAGGGACATATATGATATTTTAAAAATTTATGAATGCTAAATATGATATTTAGAAATTTTATGAAGGGTAAATATGATATTTAGAAATTAAGTTTGGTAAATATGATATTTTGATGTTTAAAAAGAGTATATATGAAATTCTCCCTTGTTTTATTTATTTATCTGAGTGGGAATTCATTAAATAAATGTACACATTATCTTTAAAATTTTATGAAAATTTGTATTTTGTTTTGACATTATGAGAAACAGTAGTAGGATTTATTATTATTTTGTGGTTTTAACGAAAGTTGGCAATACTTATTTGCTTTGTTTGGGACTTTTTAACATACTATCGGTATGATATACCTTGATCTTATATGTTTCATATATTTGCGTAAATTATATCTTTTGGACGGACGAAATCAATGTTTTAAAACCCGGGTTTTTAGTTGACCCGGTGTGATAACCGGTTCACGGGTCAACCAGTTCAACCGGTTGAACCGCCGGGTCAACCTGATTTATAGTCTTTTTCTATTTCTATATATTTTTACTTTCATGCATAATGTATAAACATATAAAATCAATAATTTGATGTCCACAAAGTTTAAACATTGAAAAACATTGAAGAAACCGCAAACGGCTCGTTGTTTTGGCGTTCGCTACTTGTATCCAACTATCCAAACTCTATTGAAACGGGTCAAACCGGTTTAACTGGTTCAACATAAGCGGTCGAACCGCGATTTAAGGGAAACCCGGCCGGTTCGATCTGGTTCGTATTTTTACAAAAAACCGATCTCAATCAACCCGCCTTCTGCCCCGGGTCACGGTCCAACCGGTTGAACCGGCCGGGTCGACCCGGGTTTTAAAACATTGGACGAAATACATAAAGGCCCAAGCCATTATTATGACCATATTATTGAAAAAAAGCTCCTATATAAATTTCTTGATTGCTAAAAGTTGTATATTAATTTTTTTTTTTTAACTTTGTCTGTTTTGTAGGTTTGTTGGTTACTCATGCAAGTGGAAAATTATTGGAATTAGTGTCTACAGTTACAACAAGTTGGTAATATTATTATATATGGAAAAATCTTTTTAGGTTACACGTTGTAATACTCGAGTTAGGTGCATTATTATTATTATTATTATTATTATTATTATTATTATTATTATTAAGTTAAAAGTTTTCAATTTTGGCCCTTCTCACAATGTGAGGCATGCTTGTGACGTCGTGAGGAGTAATTTTGACCCGCGCATCATTTTGAGGCTCACGATGTGAGAAATCCTATGCTCACGGCGTAAGAGCGGTCTGAGGACCAAAAACTCTAATTTTTAGTATTTAAAGGAAAGAGGGGGCTAGGGTTGCTCACCCTCCGCCTCCCTCACACTGTAACCCCCAAAGAACCCTGAGATTTATCATCCTTGAAGTTCATAGCCATTTTGATGTAATTTCTAGCTTAAAGAAGGAGAGAATAAGAGGAAATGAGTAATCTATTGGTAGAGTAAACAAAGTAGCAACATTATCATCACCTCTTCTTGTTGTTTGACCTTTATAAGTATTAAAGATCTAAGCTTTATTACATATCATGGGTAGATCTAGGATTTTGTCCACTTTTCTTCATGTTAAGCATGCTTAAGTTAAGTAAATTCATAGAGCTAGCAACTTTGTGGATTTTAAGAGTTCCTTGATCATCATATTGTTCAGATCTGGAAGTTGGTGAGGTATAAGAGGCATGCATGAGAGCTTGAAGCATATTTCTTCACATTTGACCTAGAATGGGTACTTCAGAGGATCGTGGGAAAGAAAATGCATAATCGTACACAGCTTCCTGTTTAATGTCATTGGGTCTTGGGAAAACTTTGATTTGATTCAACTCCGACATCGTCTACGTCAAAGATGTAAGCTAAAACCTGATTTCGCTCAACGTTGATGTTAATGCCTGATCCGATTGTCGGACCTAGGTTCCGATTTGTAAAACTCATTTTTTTTCAAAAAAATTTGATTTTGAACATTTCCGGAGTATGGTCCTGTATGTGAGAGAGATAAAGAGATGGGTTGAATATAAGACCCATATATTTATTTAACAATATAAATTAAATAGAAAAAAAAAAGTATAAAAAATAGTGAATGACTAATGGTATGGTCCAGTGCCACATAAACTTTCTTGGCGCGTCACATTTCTACATAGACTCGGTAACTCGGGGATCCGTTAAAAATTAACAAAAATAACTTAATTAACAAGTAACTTGTAATTTTTTTTTTTTTGGGAAAGATAAAAAAAAAATTACAAGTAACTTGTAATTTTAATGACATATTGTGCAAAAAAAAAAAAAAAAAAAAAAAAGGTTTTGTGACCAAATCAGATAAATGACAATAATTGATTGTGCTATAGTGATATTTTCCAATAACAAAATATGATGTGGCCAAAGTGGTATAAGCCAGCCATCCACATAGGCTCGGTAACCGGGGATTCGTTAAAAATTAACGAAAATGTTTTAATTGATATGTAACTTGTAAGTTTAATGACTTATTGCGCGAAAAAATATCTATTAAGCAAATCGGGTAAATGATAATAGTTGATTGTGTTACGATAACATTTTTTTATAACATGATGTGGCTGTATTTTTGGAGTGGTCAAGTAATAGGTTTTTTCTTTTTTTATTTCTATATGTAGTTCTAAAATTTATTATCGATTTTGCATTCCTTGTTTCATATTTTTTTCAAATAATTAAAAGATTTTATTTAACAAAATCTAATAAGGAGTTAGCCACAACAAGCATATTATGTAATAGATATAACTAATTTCGTGCACTTACGAGATATATAATGATAATATTTTCCTTCGTAGCAAATAATCCAATTTATTTATCAAAATATATTTTTTAACCATATTGAATTAGATGGAGAAAAATACAAATTCAATACAAGATGTATTACAAAACAATATGGGGTAAGATTCCAATTTTTAAAAGAAACAAAAGATAAGAAATATAACATCATGAAAGGTACTTATATGGTTATGAATATTATATAAGGGCATTTACGTAAAATCACATTAATTTAAGAATACTTTATTTTGTAACATCTAGAAAACGAAAAGAAATCCAATACCTATTTTGAGACTTGTGGCGCTAAAACTATCACACCATAAAGTTTCATCTAGCTATTTTATTTATTTAGTTGGTATTTGGTTTTGATAAAAGGTAAATACAAATAGCGCATCTTTGTGTCAGTAGTTAAATGGTTATATGACTTGATGTTCGTCTACTTGTTGGTGATAGAGTTTTATGAAAAGGGAAAGGGCTACATTGCTTGTATTCAATAGACTCAAAGTGAAGGAGACAAACTAGAATTGGTAATTAGTATAAGTTATCGTATTCAGACCTACAAAAAGCTATTAATGGTCACGAGGGCTTTGAATTTGGTTCTAGGAACGTACATGGTAACATGCTTCTTGAGTTTGCAACTACCCATGATAAAGATCAATATACATTTATGTGAACTTCTAAATTAATTAGGGATAATCACTTGAAAGGGTAATGAATTTTCGATTTTGTTCACATTTAGTCACTAAACTTTTTTTCGTTATCTATTTGTCATTGAACTATTGAAACTGTTCATATTTTACCCTTATAACCG